GGTCCATCAGCGGATTCATACCGGAGAGAAACCTTACAAATGCTCTCAGTGTGGAAAGTGCTTCAGTCAGAGAATAAATTTGAATAGACATCAACTGCTTCATACTGGAGCTAAACCATACAAATGTTACCAATGTGGAAAATGCTTCAGCCTACAAAATTACTTGAAAAGACACCAAGGCATCCATACTGGAGCTGAAACTAAACCATATAAGTGCTCTCAGTGTGGGAAGTCCTTCTACCAGGAAAAATGGTTGCTGGTCCATCAGCGGATTCATACTGGAGAGAAGCCGTACGAATGCTCTCAGTGTGGGAAATGCTTCAGTCAGCAAGGAAACCTGATGAACCACTGGAGGATTCATACTGGAGAGAAACCGTACAAATGCTCTCAGTGCGGGAAATGTTTCAGTCAGCAAGGAAACCTGATGAGCCACTGGAGGATTCACACCGGAGAGAGGCCGTACAAATGCTTTCAGTGTGGAAAAAGCTTCAAAGTGGCAAATTACTTGAAGAAACATGAAAGAATTCATAGCAATCATATGAAAGCCCTCCATGGTGGAAATGTTTCAGTTAGTGACTTCACTTGAATGCTCGCCCGGGAATTGATGTAGGAGAAGAGCCATACAGATGCCTTGAGCATCAGAAAGATGTTTTTCGGGTAGTCTGTCTGAGTATCTGAGTATTATGGGATGGTACTACAGTAGGACTGTGGTATCCACAGGGGATCGGTTCCAAGCCAAAATATTAAAAGCTATACATTTCATACATCTGGGGACCCAAGGTTGAGAACCACTGACTTAGAGTAAGTCCATTGAATCAATAGCCCAGTGGTGAGTTTACGCTTAAGTAAACCCCATTCATTTCTTGCGTGTTCTAGGGCTGGGACTCCCAGTTATATTTAACTCTAAATTTCAGAGGCAATCCCAATGGATATTCCTTAGGTAGGGGACCTCCCAGTGAAAACTGCAAGGTTGTTGCAGATAGGATAATGAAATTGTGAATTTAAAAAGAGGGATAATTGGATTGAAGAGTGGTGGAAGAAGTGACACTATTTGAAAGAGCTGTTTTGTAAAAAACTATTTCTTATCAGTAAGGAGTCTTTTCCTCCCCAAACTTACAGAAAATTAGAAAAAACAATGAGCAGTGCATCAGATAATGTAACAAAACCCCTTTTCACTGTCGTAATGTAGAACAATTTTTCGACTGTTGTTGATGAGTAATAGGAATGAAATAACTTCAAAACTCTTGACTGTCAGTAACTCTCTCAACCTGGAGTATGGGTTCTGAGCCTTGTCCCTCTTGCTTAAAAAAAGTCACCATGAATCTTGTACAGGCTAATTTATTTTGCCTCCCTGGGCATAGGGAGCATCAGCACTTACCACTTTTGCATTTTTTAAAAAATTAAATGTTTCCATTATAAAAAGGTCTTGAGTTTTCCTTTAGGTATACTTTACAGTATTGCTAAATCTCTACAGACATGATATTCTTGATTTAAACAATTGCTTATGAGCCATGCTTCTGTTACTTCTCAAAGGAAAGAAATGTCTAAGGCTTGGAAAACCGGAAGGCCATCAATTTGCTTTGCAAAGGTCCTTTCCAGCAGGAGCATTCCTTTCTACTTAAAAAAAGCTCAGGTTGGCTTACATCATTGAGAGTTGATATTTAAAGCTAAAAACAATGAGTATAGAAAGGGAGCTTAAGATCTTTATCGGTTAAAGCCAACACTTTGATTTGTGCCCGGAAACTGATGGGCAGCCAGAGGAGCTGCCGTAATGAGGGGAGTTGTTTGATCCCTGTGCCCACTTCCAGTCTGTAATCTGGCTGCTGCCTTTTGGACCTGCCGACCTTTCCAGACTCTTTCTGTCGGGAACTCCATATAGAGTGTGTGTTACTAAGGCATGTGTCACCATAGCTGAATGAGACCTCTCAAGAAATGGTCGCAGCTGGCACACTAGTTTCAATTGTGCAAATGCACCCCTGGCTACTGTCAAAACCTAGGCATCCAGGAACACACACCCACACACACACACGTTGGCCTCTCTACCCTGGTTTTCTATGCCCCAAAGGGTTAATTCTGGCTTCTAGTCTCCTGGAGAAATTTGAGCAAGAAAGGAAAGGCAGTGAAGGTATAAGCAAGGAGGATAGTGGTTCAGAGATGGGAATTGTACTCCCAAAGATCTGGGGGGCACCCAAGCAGAGAGAGCTAAAGAGAAGGAGCCAAGCTCTGAGTGGTGAGGGCATTTCAAAACTTGAGGCACCAAAGACATCTGACTGACTCTGGAAGGCTAGAAGTCCCCAAGCGGAAGGGAGATCCTATGGCTTTTTCTTCCCCATTCTTGCAGCAGGATTCGGATGGAAAGGATTTGGCCTCAAATCAACTTCCCTGAAGAGTCTTCACTGGATCTCTTTACAACCACCTCTGTTTTCACCATATTATGGGAAGCTTCAGGATACACTGCCTGCAGGTCCTGAAGGTCAATGTAGACCAGTCAAAGCAAGAAAAGTCCCCAAGATAGCCCAGTTCCTAGGTTGGGGTGGTCTGCCAAAGAGAAAAAGGGCATTGTAGAAGGAGATGCAACATCATTGGGAAATCTGGTGCCAGGAGTTTTTGAAGACATTGCCGCATATTTGTAGATGTAACGACCCAGATTAATGTGAGCGCGAACTTGGTCGGTCGGACAGAGTACAGTGGTGCCTCGCATAGTGATTGCTCCTTTTAATGAAGAAATCGCTTTGCGACGCTGTTTTTGCGATCACAAAAGCAATCGCTTTGCGATGTTCCCTATGGGGAAAATTCGCTTTGCGATGATCGCAGGGAAGCGATCATCGCAAATCCCCCATTTTCAGCCAGCTGATCGGCGGTTCCAAAATGGCCGCCCGCTGTGTTCTCGCATGGATTCCTTGCTTAAGAGGCAGCGAAAATGGCCGCCGTATGGAGGATCTTCGCTTTAAGGTCAGTTTTTAGCCCATAGGAACGCATTAAACAGGTTTTAATGCGTTTCTATGGGGTTTTTAATATCACTTAGCGATGAAATCACTTAGCAGCGATTTTTGCTGCACAGATTAACATTGTTAAGCGAGGCACCACTGTAATTGGAAGTCTGAGTACCCCTATGCAGCTGGATTGCATCCTGGTGACCTCAGCCAGGGCATATAATTAACTCCTTCTTACAAGTCTGCCCTAAAACGATAACTTGCTGACCCTTAAGAGAGCTCAGCAGGAAGTTACACATGAGCTTTTTAGTCCTAAGATCTACCTGGCTCAATTAAGTAGGACTCAGTAGCTTAATGTGGCCTTGCTTTTCCCTCAGGGAATAGTTAAGACAGCTTCACTGTTCAAAAGACCAAAAGATTTTATAATTGATCTTTTTAGTGAAAAAATATAGATTTACAGAATAAAGGCAGTTTGATGCAAAAGCATAGCAAATAAAGTGTTTTCAAGGCTTGTTACAAATTACAATTAAGGCAACTAATTCTCTTTTAGTTACAAAAGCTCTAAAATTCTCTAAAAGCTTCCTTAGGGTAGGCAAAAGGCTTAAAGCCCCCCCTTCTCCTATTCCTTAACTCCCTACATCTTCCCCAGTGGTTTCCCTGCATGAGGAAGCAGGCAAAAAGACCTAGAAAAATCTATGGCTCCATCCAATAGGAAAAATAGGAACAAGATGGAACACTGCACATGGCAAAAGTTCCTTTATCTTCTTGGCTCCTCCTGTCTTCTTGGTCTCCCACGCTGTTATCCAATCACGGTGTGAAGTGATAGAAGCAGTCCTCTGCTTCTCTCCTCACGAGAAACAGGTGTTGTTTTTCTCCATCTATTCTCCGCCATAACAAGTGTCTGGTCTTCTTATCTTGTATTGGCTTGTACTGGCCTAAAGGAAAACATTCCCCCAGCCCTCTGGAAATACAGTCCATTAATACAAAATCATTCTTACATGGAATCCATTATACATTGTTCACAACTACATATCCCATCTTCCTTACATGATTTAATCCACATATTCTTATCCATGACAGCAGAAAATTGGGAAAACCCAATAATGTTGGGATGATGCCCAGGCTCTTCTGACTTCCTTTGAGCAAGTAGCCAAAGCCTTCCAGTGGCCAAGGGAAGAGTGGGCAGCCCAGCTGCACTCAATGGCATAGAGAAAGAGGGCTTTCAGAGTTTGAAAACCAGAGACGGGGAGGATTACAGGGAACTGAAGGACACCATCTTGCAAAGGGATGCCCTGAAGACAGAAATACAGCATCTGCACTTCCGGCACTTCTGCTGCCAGGAAGCTGAAGACTCCCCCCTCCCCCCGAAAAATTCACAGCCAAGTCCAGGAGCTTTATCCCCAGTGGCTGAGGCCAGAGAAAAGGAGCAGATCCTGGAGCTGCTGATCCTGGAGCAGTTCTTGGCCAGCCTTCCCCCGGACCTCCAGGACTGGATCCAGGCAGGAAGGCCAGAGACATGTAGCCCTGGTGGAGGAATTCCTCATGAACCACCAAGGGATTGAAGCAGGAAAGTGGCAGGCGAGGCTTTGTGTTTTAAATCCCACACTTTTCAGAAGTCAAAATATGGATCAAGATTGAACAAATATTTAATTTGTGTTAACTAAAGATTTGCAGTTGTAACTAAACAGCATCTTAAAAAGCAGAGACATCACCTTGCCAACAAAAGTCTGCATAGTCAAAGCTATGGTTTCTCCCGTAGCACTGTATGGAAGTGAGAGCTGGACCATAAAGAAGGCTGACCGCCGAAGAACTTGTGCTTTTGAATTGTGATGCTGGAGGAGACTCTTGAGAATCCCCTGGACTCCAAAAGAAGATCAAACCTATCCATTTTGAAGGAAATCAACCCTGTGTGCTCATTGGAAGGACAGACCCTGAAGGGGCTTCAGGACCTTTGCAGACCTTTGGCCATCTCATGAGAAGACACCCTGGATAAGCCCCTGGTGTTGGGAACGTGTGAAGGCAAGAGGAGAAGGGGACGACAGAGGACGAGATGGTTGGACAGGGTCACCAAAGCTACCAACATGAATTTGACCCAACTCCAGGAGGCAGTGGAAGACAGGAGGGCCTGGCGTGCTCTGCTCCATGGGGTCACGAAGAGTCGGACACGACTTAACGACTAAACAACAAGAAGTTAACACCCAGCAAAGGCTGAAATCCTCTTTTTTTAATATTTTATTTTTAAACTGCTAGGAATAGGGTAGGGAATACAAAAGGTAAAAGGAAGTGGAAAGGAGGGGGAAATATTTTAAGGATAGGAGAACACAGAGTATACAGTACAATCATCCAATCTACAGTATTCATATTTCAATAAAAAATCAACTTTGTATTTTTTAAAAACTATTTTATTACCATCTAGCTATCAACTTACATTTATGTTTTAGTTTAAATCTAAGTCCTACACTATCAGGAAACCGAGACCATTTGTAAAATACATCCCCTCTTTCAATTTCCTTCTGTCTTGGACATACATTCAGCACGCCTGGAAAAGTATCCACTTCTGTCACTTCCCATATTTTCTCAGTACGCTTTTGTTTCCGTGGTTCTGTTTTCTTCCAGTTTTTGGAAGAGAAGGATGCATCCAGGACAGTAATCCAATTTTTAACATCACATTTTCTGACTGTTGTACCTAAATAGCTCACTGGGTAACTCTTTATCCCATCTATTTTACTTGGCATTGCACTCAATAAAACCCGTTCTGGAGTTAGTACAGTTTCATTTAACTGTTGTTTAACATCTGATGATTTCTCTTTCATCAAATCTTCCATCTGGCTGAGACGCTCATTTATCTGCTGAAATCCTGTTGTTATTATCATTTGCATGGTAACCTGCCATTTTTTATCTGACAAAGGTCCCCAACATTTGGTATTTTAATTTTCTGAGGCCATTTCCATCTTTCCAAAGAGTTTGGTCTGTATAAATAATACTCTTTAGTTTCCACTATTTTATCAACAAACCAAACCCACCTTCATAAACTTCCCCTGAGTGCTTCCTCCCATTCTTACCCAGATATTATAGTATATAGGTCAACTTTTAGCCCAACAATTTAAATTACAAATAATATCAGAGTTGCACACAGTCCAGCAAAAAAATAAAAATCCAGACTAAACAGCAGACACAGGAAGTCAGTCTCTCCAGTAGATATCCTTGTAATCCGTCAAACTCCAGTCCTGGTTTTCCTAGCTCCTCAGTCTATTCAGTTACGTCATCTTGCTGATGATTCACAGTCCGTTTTCTTGCTTCCAAAAGCTTATTCCTCCTTCTCAGAAAACCCAGCAAAATTCTGTTATCAGAGTCCCACACCGTCTAGGGAGAAAGATCCAGACTAAACAGCATTCACAAAATTTCAGTCTCTTAAAGCCTGCCCAGTGGTATTTTCTGGGATTTTTTCCCCAGAAACACAAGATTTTTTCCA